AAGGCCTCCTTTTAATAGAGTACCAGACCAAAGCATTAGCACTTAGTGAATACATGAACTCCTCAAACAACGGTCATCACCGGGAAGTGTCCCGACTATTGTCACTCCGGGGTTTGTCGGATCATAACCCTTGCAAGATAGGATCAAGAACACTCATATATTCATGAAAGCATAATAGGTTCAGATCTGAAATCATGGCACTCGGTCCCTAGTGACAAGCATTAAGCATGGCAAAGTCATAGCAACATCAATCTTAGAACATACTCCCTCCGTTCTGTTATGTAAGATGTATTATTTTTGGCACGGTGACCAAGGCACGGAATTATAGACATGTTAGGACTAAATTACCCTTGGAAAATTTGTTGATTAGTGGTAAGTAAACCAATTAGTCCAGTAAAGTAAGAGATGCATGCAATCGACAGAGAGATACTTTCCTTCTTTTGCTGCAAGGAGAGATACGGACAATCAGGAGAGGGATACTTTTCATTTTTCAAGAGGGCTTACAAGGGAATTGTGAGGAATTAGAAGAAATGCACCTTACATTCTGAAATTTTATGAAAAATAAATACACCGTATATAAAGGAACGGGGGGAGTAATGGATACTAGGGAGCAAACCCTAACAAAACTAACTCAATTACATGGTAAATCTCATCCAACCCATCACCGTCCAGCAAGCCTACGATGGGATTACTCACGCACAACGGTGAGCATCATGAAATCGGTGGTGGAGAATGGTTGATGATGACGATGGCGACAGATTCCCCTCTCCGGAGCTCCGAACGACTCCAGATCAGCCCTCCCGAGTAAGAATAGGGCTTGGCGGTGGCTCCGTATCGTTAAACGCGATGAATCCTTCTCTCTGATTTTTTTTCTCCCCGAACATGAATATATGGAGTTGGAGTTGAGGTCGGTGGAGCTCCAGGGGGGCCACGAGGCAGGGGGCGCGCCCTAGGGGGGTGCCCCCACTCTCGTGGCTAGGGTGTGGGGCCCCTTGTGTTTATTCTTTCGCCAGTATTTTTTATTAATTCCAAAAAGTGACTCCGTGAAGTTTCAGGTCATTCCGAGAACTTTTATTTCTGCACAAAAATAACACCATGGCAATTCTGCTGAAAACGACGTCAGTCCGGGTTAGTTCCATTTAAATCATGCAAGTTAGAGTCCAAAACAAGGGCAAAAGAGTTTGGAAAAGTAGATACGTTGGAGACGTATCAGGTATCTTCTCCAATCCGAAGATATTCATCCGCATAGTCAGCGAGAACACCATATGCAATCACTATCATCACCGTCGATATATTTTTATATGCACTGAAGCCAATCAAACCTGCGGCATTTCTACGTCGAGTGAAAAATCGGCAATTTTGCTCGCAAGCCTCGACGATGCGCATGAAAAGTGACCTACGCATTCTATATTGCCTACGAAAGAGATAAGCCAGATATGTCGGTACCTCGGCGAAGTAGTCCTTCATGAGCATCTTGTCACCGAGAGCTCGGTTGCAAGGAATGCATAGTCGGCAGACCATGGATCCGCACCCCTTTTTCTTCGGCCCCGCCTCAAATTCGTCCACGAGATGCAACAACACTAGATTCTCGTCATCGTCGTCGAGGATCATCTCTTCTATGTCTGAATCATCAGATGAAGACGACGAGGACGAACTCCAATCCATCTACAAAACGCCCATGAATTTCACCCGAATCTACTCCCAGCCCAACACAAACACGCGGGTGTTGGACATACCTCGCCCGAAGCCGGCCGAAGCAAGGCCGCGTGGCCCCTTTCTTCTCCCCCGCCGGCTGAAGCAAAGCCCGTCGCCCCCTTCCTTCGACATGCCCGGACGAGTCCCATTGATGTCGAGGCTCACTGGCGTCGGAACCAACCGGATCCGTGTGCTACAAGGCCGCGCACCAAGCTCCGGGGCGGATCCATGGCGCCGGCGGGGGCCTCACGCCCCGGACACAAATGACCACCCCCGCGGTGAAACTTGGTGGAATGGATGCGGCGCGGGGTGGCGGAGCTTTCGGGCGGTGCGGGGCAGCC